ATTTATTAATTTGATTAAATTGACTCAAACTCGTTTTAACACTGCTGGCTCTCACTAAAAATCTGAAATTAGGAAAATGTCTTTCAATTAAAAATATACTAAATTCGAAAGTTTAAAAAACAAGGATTTTGTGTTGGGATAAAAGCTAGGATAGCATATTTGGATTCTCATTTTTGGATTCTCACTGCTATCAAAATATTGGTCAATTTGGCTGTGTACACCGAAAGTTGAGCTGAACCAAAGCATTAACCTAACAAAATTCTGCTATTTTTATACCCTGTTGCTATTCGCACGCCTTTTGCATATATGCCCTTTTCACATTGTTTCTTTAACTGTCTTCTCTCACTTTTTAACTTTTTTTTTTTTTTAAATATCATCTATCTATATATATATATAATCCATTTATTCTGAAATTTTTTTAAGTTAAATTTACTTCACTTAATAATTTATATTTTATATTAAATTTTAACAATTTAACTATTAAATTAAAAATTGTAAAAATAATTTATTTTGAATTATATTAAGATTTAATATAGTATTTGATCCTTAATTTTTTTTAATAAATTTATAAACTAAAAAAATTATAATTAAGTCTTTTTTTTAAAGAAGTCCTTCATTTTTATGTTTTTATAATTAAAAAATTATTTACAATTTATGAAATTTCATAAAATATTTTTAACGTTTACATATTTAGAAAGTCATATTAAAATATTATTTCGTGTCTACATCTATGTGTATCAAGAATATTAATTTGGTGGAATTTTATGGATCATAAACAAAATTTTAATTTTAAAAACTAAATTATAAATATATATAAAAAACTTAATTATAATTTTTTTTTTTAATTTAAGATTGATTAAAAATCTTTAAAAAATTCATACACCAAATTTGTATTAAACATTACATTTACTCGATAAATCTTCATTAACTCGAGTTAATTTATTTGTTAATGAAAAAATAAAGTTTAAATTATATGTATAATTAAATTACTGATGAATTTTATAATTGACTCCACATATATACATAAACAAATATTATTAATACTCCAAAATAATTATTATTATATATCCTCATTTAAAAATAATCATTTTTAAAGTACTTTTTGATATAAGTGAAAAATTATTAGCATGTTTAAATATAAATTTAGATGAACTTTTGAAGGTTTTTACCAAAAATAAATATTTTTTTTATAAATAAACTTTTAGAAATATTTCACATATAGTCAGGGATAGGAAAATAATATAAAAGATACATGTGATATAAATTTAAAATTAAAATTTAATCTATTATTTATTATAAGTTTTTATTTTTATTTTTATTTTTTTATTTTTATTTTTATTTTTATAAGTTTGATATAAAATATTAGTCTACTTAAAAGTTTACTTTATATTTACAATGTTATATAAGATAATAAACTTAATTTTAAATAAATTATTTTTTAAAAATATGTGCATAAGTTTTTTTATTTAATTTGTGTGATAAAAAAATAATTTACTCTATTAATATTAATATTAAAATTTAAAATAAAAATAAAAATAACTTAAAAAAGATAATTCATGAACAATTTTTTTTAAAATAAGTCAAATCATATTAAATTTTAAATAAATTATGTTATAGACCATTGTATCCAAACAAACTCTACATGATGTGTTATTTAATAAACAGCATCATGTATGCATTTGGTAACTTTCACAAGACATATTGATAATGATTTTTAATTAATTAATTGTATAATTGTTTAAGATATGACTTATTTACATCCTTACTTATATCTAAACAAATTTTAAATAATGTGTTATTTAATACAAAATTATATATGATATATTTATTGACAATAAATTTTAATTAATTAATTGTTTATACACAAAAAACGTAACCTTAAATATAAACAAGAAAAAATTGTATTTTAGTTTGTTATAAAGAGTACTCTCTTTTGCAGTTTTTCGAGATTCAATTTTCATTTATAATTCTTCACTTGTTAAGGACAGATGTTTTATAATTTGGAAAAAAAATATAAAATGAGTTTGTCGTTAAATTAAATAAATAAAAATCAAAGTTGTCAAATATTAAATATTAAATATAAGCATGTCTTTTAATTAATTTAACCTACCAAAATATTTTATTACAAATAAATATTTTTTATAATTAATATTTTGCAAACACCGACTATTATGATAATGTCACCCCACTTTCTTTTTTCCTTCCCTTTTGTGATGCTTTTATAGCAATGCACTTATGCACATTGCACCGCACACTTTCTTTTTGTAGACAAGTACAACTTCCAGTATATTTTTGCTGTTATTATTTCTTCACAATTTTGTTTTATAGAAGGTTTTTGTTTTTAAGGTACATGAATTAAATGAATTTAAATTAAAGTTATTCTTAGCAATTTGGGCAAGTCAAAGGTGACCTTGATCCAATTTCAAGAAAATGAGAGAATAGCAGCAATCCAATTTATACAGCGTTGCTTTTCCTTTGAAATTGTTCTTACAACTCCTAAGAACTAAGAATATATTTTAAAAAAATGTAATAACCATATATACATTAGATGTCACTTTAACTTCGGAGTGTAACACATCAAAATTTCACTATCATCATAACTTAATATGATTGGTTTGGGACAGATTTTGAAAAAAGACAAGACAAGAGTCAAACCAATTTCGGCATTGATCAGTAAGTTTTTTTAATGCCTTGTGCATAGATTTTTAATTTTAGACCACATTTTAAAATAAAAAAGAAACATATTGTATATAATTGGATACCGATTTAAAATTACATATAACAATACACATTTTAATGAAAAAAATAAAATTTATAATTACATATTCAATTCAATTGATTTTTAAACATACCCATTATCATTCTCAAATAATTAAGGAAATAATAAATTATAATAAAAAATATTTCAATATCTTAAAAAGTGTGTTAAAAAATTTAGTATGTTACTAAAACTTTTCATAATGACTTAAAAAAAATATTAAAAACATGCACTTTTGTAAATACATTTTCTGATGTATTATTCTAATTTTTAATAAATTTTAACTCAAAATAAAAACTAATACTTTTTTTTTACAAAAATTAATACATTTTTTTGACAGAACAAAAGTTAATACGTTAATAATTTATTGAGTGAACAAACTAAAAGACAAGGTGCTAGTAACATAAATGAAAAACATTGAAAGATGCCAGAGAATGAGATTCTCGGAAGCATGTTAAATTTGGTTAAAATTAATATATAT